ACCCCTCAAACTACTTGAAAACACTTTTCTATCAAATAACCAACACCACAAAATATTTCTTAGTGTTTGTGCATGAGCGGGACGAACACCACAACCACCTCGCCTGACTCGATGCATACAAGCAATGTTAAATAGGTCACTCCAACCACCATGACCTCTTCAGTGATTTGAAGTGGTCATGGGGGTAGGAGTCTGTGTTTGTAGTGTTGTGCTTAACACTGCATATACAGAGAAATCTGGTCTTTTGTGGTGAGGGCTAGTTACATCTCCGGTAGCTCGCTACTGTGTTCCGTACTGTCAAATGTTAAATCTGTGTATATTTTTTTGTAAATTTCTTTTATTCAAAGAATTTCCATTTTATGTATAAACAGTATCGCGGACACGCAGGTCCAATAAAGGCTTTTTCATTTCATGTCTCAGACATGAGATAGTTATAGTGAACAACCATGGTGACATGCAAGTCATCAAATAGTCTTAAGAAACTTTCTAGTTGGACTCGTAGGTCCTAAAAACCTTTGTGTGGGTAGGGCTTTCCCTCTAGCGTACGGTTGTTATGGCTATGTTAGGCCACCTAGTGTGACAGAGGTGGTTTGTAAATCTGTGTATATTTTACGCCTGTCGTCAGCACCCACAGTGCGCTGGTGACAGATGTTAGGAGATTCTCCCTTGCAGGCAGTGCGCCTGAAACAGGAAGCCTTGCTCACCACCCCACCCACTGCCTCCCTCCCATCTCCAATCACTGGCAGTTACTACGTCTGAGCTGACTAAATGGTTCAATCAAAGGCTTCTCTGTGAGACACTATAGAAGAGCTTAATGAAGCAGTTTTAATGTGTATAGATCATGCCCCTGCAGTCTCACTGCTCAACTCACTGCCATTTATGAGTTAAATCAATTTTGTTTCTCTTTATGCAGCCCTTGCTACACCACCCCTGGTTGTTACTGAAAAAACCTTTATTTATTTATTTTTTTACCAAAAAATGGTTACATTTTCATTCAGCTGTTCACACACAGAAGGCTGCAAACGGGTCGAACAAGATATTAAAAGAGGCGATAAGAAATTCTAAATTAAACAGACAGTGCAATAAAGGAAGTGTAACCATTAGATCTCACTTTACTGGAAGTGTTTAGAAAAGTTGTATAAGTCACATGCAGGGAGGTGTGGCTAGGGCTGCATAAACAAAGTGATTTAACTCCTAAATGGCAGATAATTGAGTAGTGAGACTGCAGGGGCATGTTCTATTCACCAAAACTGCTTCATTAAGCTAAACTTGTTTTGGTGACTATAGTGTCTCTTTAAAGAAACAAAGACTAAAATGTCCATATGGATCATACTGGTAAGTGGAGGTAGCAAACCTATTATTAATATCAATGTGCTTAGCTGTATGTAACCTCCATCCTAAAATGTACTTAACAACCCAGAAAAAGAAACCATTCTGTTTTCTCATTAATCTCGAAATATCAGACTAGCGAGCTCACCATTGCGAGCATTACCATGAAATCACAGTTTAGCCCCGGTAATCTGACTTGAGTCGCATTACTGGCAGGAAAAAAGGGTTTGTGAAATTTGACAAAAGACGGCAAATGACCAATGCCAGTTTGTGACGCAGGCCTTTTTCTTTTTTTATCATATATCATTTTAGAAATGTACATCGCAGCCGGTTTACATGATAATCCACACATAGTGAATATCGACCGCGTTACATTGGTAGATAAACAAGTTTCTGTGTGAACATAACAATTAACGAGCTAAATATTCGTGCGTTGTTGGCATCTCATCTTTGTTTGGGCTCACAGTTCTTTATTTTGGTCTGCACACGTGTTAATCATTATTGCAATATCTCTTCGCAATGCACCTTTAACATCATTTTGTAAAGTTGTGTGATTTTTACAATTTTATAGTATCGGGTGATGGGTAGGGCGAGGGTACTGTAAGAAAAGGGAGGGGTGGGGGCCTTTTTCCTTTTAATGTGCATAGCTGCAGCACTCATAGGGTTACCGTCAATAAGTTCAGGCTGGCTGCCTCAAGCAGAGACTATCTGTTACTAGGTATCTCATGGCAATCAGCCAACAACAGAGACTGATAAATGTGTTTTTTACCTTAGTCATCGGGCTGGTAACATTTTACAGATCTGGGTTTAACTAGCTTTTCTGTAAGACATTTCTCCGAGCACATGATTCCTACCTCTCACGCTGACACAGGAATCAACGCCAGTTAATAATATCTGCCCTGGAAACATTACATGTTACACAGACATTTGAAAGTTGCAGCATGTGGAAGAAAATTAAAAATGAGAAAAAATTGATCAGGGGAATCTTTGTCACTTGGATGTAATATTCCAACAATCCAAAGCTTCCAAAATGGGAACAGCACAGGATCTGCAATATAAGTAAATACTGTAACGAGGTGACTGCACGCTGTCTGTGTGAAGTATTAGAGAGCTTTTTGCCCCCGCCGAGTAAGGTGAACAAGCCTTTTACGCTTTGTGGCTGCACAATATGTTACAAAGTGAGCGAGCGTAACTGTCCTAGTACTTTAAATGGACTCAATAGGCAGGAATTAAAAAGAAATAAAAACAATTAGGGGCCATTGCTGTCTATCCATTTAAAGTGCAAGGACATAGAATACAGCGCTGCAGAGTGTGTTGGCATTTATAAATAATAATATATAAGCCTTACTTTGCCACGGTATGTGTGTTGGGGGGATAGACTTGAAAGTAGCATGCTACAAATAAGTTACAAAATTCCTACTGCTAAAGAGGAACGGTCTCTACTATAGAAGTGACAGTTTGTGGTTTTCTGACCTCAGTCATTTCCTGGGGTGAACAAAGCAGAAAGGTAGGTACCTCCCTTTGTTGCCTCACGTATGCTCATGTGCACTTTAGCATCAAAACAGAAAGGCTGTTCAAGTGAGTGTGCACTCAGACATTCCTCCAGCGTGCAAGAGACAGGCACAAACACTGCACTGTTGCGCTGCGTTTTGGTTTACTATTTGATTGTGCAAAAACCTCCCTAGTGATAGTTTCACTACAGGTGCTCCAACACCTAGTGTCTGAAGCTTTAAACACCACCGCCTCTCATTCTGCTCTATGGGGTCTGATCTTATCCCATAATCCTCTGTGTATCTCCAACGATCAATTCTGCTGCTATGCTATGGATCTTCTACCTATATCTAGACATTGAGCTCACTACCTGCTCCCAAACTGTGAGCCTGCTACATGTACTGGGTCTATAAGGCAGATAGCCACTTCTAAGCCATGAGCCTGCCACCTGCACCTAGAATGTGACTCCACTACCTGCTCCAAACCTAGACTGTGGGATCGGTACCTGCACCATGGCTGTATGTGAGCTTGTTAACTGCTTTGGGGTTGTATGTGAGCTCACTACCTGCACCGAGGCTGTATGTGAGCTCACGACCTGCACCGGGGCTGTATGTGAGCTCACTACCTGCACCGGGGCTGTATGTGAGCTCACTACCGGCACTGAGGCTGTATGTGAGCTCACTACCTGCACCGAGGCTGTATGTGAGCTCACTACCGGCACCAGGGCTGTATGTGAGCTCACTACCTGCACCGAGGCTGTATGTGAACTCACTACCTGTACCGAAGCTGTATGTGAGCTCACTACCTGCACCGAGGCTGTATGTGATCTCACTACCTGCACCGAGGCTGTATGTTAGCTCACTACCTGTACCGAGGCTGTATGTGAGCTCACTACCTGCACTGAGGCTGTATGTGAACTCGCTACCTGTACTGAGGCTGTATGTGAGCTCACTACCTGCACTGAGGCTGTATGTTAGCTCACTACCTGCACCGAGGCTGTATGTGAGCTCACTACCAGCACCGGGGCTGTATGTGAGCTCACTACCTGTACCGAGGCTGTATGTGAACTCGCTACCTGTACTGAGGCTGTATGTGAGCTCACTACCTGCACCGAGGCTGTATGTTAGCTCACTACCTGCACCGAGGCTGTATGTGAGCTCACTACCAGCACCGGGGCTGTATGTGAGCTCACTACCTGTACTGAGGCTGTATGTGAGCTCACTACCTGCACCGAGGCTGTATGTGAACTCGCTACCTGTACTGAGGCTGTACGTGCACCGAGGCTGTATGTTAGCTCACTACCTGCACCGGGGCTGTATGTGAGCTCACTACCTGTACCGGGGCTGTATGTGAGCTCACTACCTGCACTGAGGCTGTATGTGAACTCGCTACCTGTACTGAGGCTGTATGTGAGCTCTCTACCTGCACCGAGGCTGTATGTGAGCTCACTACCTGCACCGAGGCTGTATGTTAGCTCACTACCTGCACCGAGGCTGTATGTGAGCTCACTACCAGCACCGGGGCTGTATGTGAGCTCACTACCTGTACCGAGGCTGTATGTGAGCTCACTACCTGCACCGAGGCTGTATGTGAACTCGCTACCTGTACTGAGGCTGTATGTGAGCTCACTACCTGCACCGAGGCTGTATGTTAGCTCACTACCTGCACCGAGGCTGTATGTGAGCTCACTACCAGCACCGGGGCTGTATGTGAGCTCACTACCTGTACCGAGGCTGTATGTGAGCTCACTACCTGCACCGAGGCTGTATGTGAACTCGCTACCTGTACTGAGGCTGTATGTGAGCTCACTACGTGCACCGAGGCTGTATGTTAGCTCACTACCTGCACCGGGGCTGTATGTGAGCTCACTACCTGTACCGGGGCTGTATGTTAGCTCACTACATGCACCGGGGCTGTATGTGAACTCGCTACCTGTACTGAGGCTGTATGTGAGCTCTCTACCTGCACCGAGGCTGTATGTTAGCTCACTACCTGCACCGAGGCTGTATGTGAGCTCACTACCAGCACCGGGGCTGTATGTGAGCTCACTACCTGTACCGAGGCTGTATGTGAGCTCACTACCTGCACCGAGGCTGTATGTGAACTCGCTACCTGTACTGAGGCTGTATGTGAGCTCACTACGTGCACCGAGGCTGTATGTTAGCTCACTACCTGCACCGGGGCTGTATGTGAGCTCACTACCTGTACCGGGGCTGTATGTTAGCTCACTACATGCACCGAGGCTGTATGTGAACTCACTACCTGTACTGAGGCTGTATGTGAGCTCACTACCAGCACCGGGGCTGTATGTGAGCTCACTACGTGCACCGAAGGCTGTATGTGAGCTCACTACCTGCACCGGGGCTGTATGTGAGCTCACTACCGGCACCGGGGCTGTATGTGAGCTCGCTACCTGTACTGAGGCTGTTTGTGAACTCGCTACCTGTACTGTGGCTGTATGTGAGCTTTCTACCTGCACCAAAGGCTGTATGTGAGCTCACTACCTGCACCAAAGGCTGTATGTGAGCTCACTACCTGCACCGGGGCTGTATGTGAACTCGCTACCTTTACCGAGGCTGTATGTGAGCTCACTACTGGCACCGGGGCTGTATGTGAACTCGCTACCTGCACCGAGGCTGTATGTGATCTCACCACCTGCACTGAGGCTGTATGTGAGCTCACTACTGGCACCGGGGCTGTATGTGAACTCGCTACCTGCACCGAGGCTGTATGTGAGCTCACTACCTGCACTGAGGCTGTATGTGATCTCACTACCTGCACCGAGGCTGTATGTGAGCTCACTACCTGCACTGAGGCTGTATGTGATCTCACTACTTGCACCGAGGCTGTATGTGAGCTCACTACCTGCACCGAGGCTGTATGTGAGCTCACTACTGGCACCGGGGCTGTATGTGAACTCGCTACCTGTACCGAGGCTGTATGTGAACTCGCTACCTGTACCGAGGCTGTATGTGAGCTCACTACCTGTACCGAGGCTGTATGTGAGCTCAATACCTGCACTGGGGCTGTTGGTGACTAGCTCTGCAAGCTGAACGGAGCTAGGCTTCTGGAGGCTAACTGTGGTTACACACTGGGTAAACTTTAAATGTACCAAGGAAAAGGTTCTAAAAACATGAATAGCTACAAAAAACACCCATGATCAAGCCACAAATCGAAATAACCGCTGCTAGTTCCAGATGGCGGAAGTTACAGTTTTATTTGAACACGGCTTCTCTCCGTCTGGTAACCACATGTTGAAATAGTGTCTGGTTTAACACTTGTTACACTTCCTCCATGCAGCAACAACAACCTAAAAGCTCATTTCAGCAATATGATGCTCAGGTATACTCCCTCTAGCATGTAAGCTCATTGAGCAGGGCCCTCAACCCCTCTGTTCCTGTGTGTCCAACTCGTCTGGTTACAACTCCATGTCTGTTCGTCCACCCACTGTAAAGCGCTGCAGAATTTGATGGCGCTATATAAATAATAATAATAAATGTGGGAAATTCACGTTATTTTGGATCGAGCCCCATCACATAAACCAACAACCAGCCTGCAGCATTGTAATTACTGATAGAGTACTCAGAGTAAAGAATAACTGTGAACTGCAACATTCTGCGCTGGGGATGCTATAACAAGCTTATTAAAATATACTTAAACATGTCTATAATTTCCTTCAATTAACAAGCAAAAGGATGTAGCCTGATGTTATATCTGCATAATACAGTATTTTTACTGACAGAAGGGGGAAATGAAAGTTGGCCCAATTTATTCTATTGCTGGAGATAAAAGTCTATGTATAAATTGCAGACACAGGCCGGTTCACAGTGTCAGTCTGCTGGATTGAAAGCTTGTGCAATATTGTGCAAGAAAGCAAAGCTGTGGGGAAATAAAACATGGCTATGGGTGGACCACATCGTAGCTCAAGATATGTGATCACAAGTCAGTTATAAAAAAAAACCCAACAACGAAAAAGTACTTGGTTATCCATTAAAAGGAGACCTCTTATGTAAAGAATGTGCACAGAATGGCCTCTCACTGACTTCCTCCCCAGTGTCTCACAAGCCTTTGATTAGAAGAAAGGGTGGTATATTTATAACAAAGGACATTATTTTATTAAGTAAGAGCAATAAAGAGGTGGAATTTCCCGCCTGGGGACTTGGTGTCCCTTTAAAAGGGAACATTATGTAAAGAGCATTTTGGAGAGATGCAATCAAGAAGATTCCCCCGCCATGCCCATCCTCAGGAACCCACTGTGCTCCCTCGACTCCTCACCGAGTACCAGAAGAAAGGTCTTTAAAACTCATTGATGGGGATCTTTGTTTCTCTTCTTTGTAATCAACAAAAAAGGAATGTAGAAAGATCTGATAGATGCTTTACATTCTGTGTAAATATGTGAGGAAAAAGAAGACCACCAATGGAAAAATGTGGGTACTAGATCGGGGCTATACGTGCATGTATCCATAGGTCTGGGCTATACGTGCATGTATCCAGAGATCTAGGCTATACGTGCATGTATCCTTAGATCTGGGCTATACATGCATGTATCCATAGGTCTGGGCTATACATGCATGTATCCATGGATCTGGGCTATACATGCATGTATCCATAGGTCTGGGCTATACATACATATATCCATAGGTCTGGGCTATACGTGCATGTATCCATAGATCTGGGCTATACATGCATGTATCCCTAGATCTGAGCTATACATGCATGTATCCATAGATCTGGGCTATACATGCATGTATCCATGGCTCTGGGCTATACGTGCATGTATCCCTAGATCGGGGCTATACGTGCATGTATCCATAGCTCTAGGCTATACGTGCATGTATCCATAGATCTGAGCTATACGTGCATGTAGCCATAGATCTGAGCTATACGTGCATGTATCCCTAGATCGGGGCTATACGTGCATGTATCCATAGATCTGGGCTATACGTGTATGTATCCATAGATCTGGGCTATACGTGCATGTATCCATAGGTCTGGGCTATACGTGCATGTATCCATAGATCTGGGCTATACGTGCATGTATCCATAGATCTGGGCTATATGTGCATGTATCCATAGATCTGGGCTATACGTGCATGTATCCATAGATCTGGGCTATACGTGCATGTATCCATAGGTCTGGGCTATACGTGCATGTATCCAGAGATCTAGGCTATACGTGCATGTATCCTTAGATCTGGGCTATACGTGCATGTATCCATAGATCTGGGCTATACGTGCATGTATCCATAGATCTGGGCTATATGTGCATGTATCCATAGATCTGGGCTATACATGCATGTATCCATAGATCTGGGCTATACGTGCATGTATCCATAGGTCTGGGCTATATGTGCATGTATCCATAGATCTGGGCTATACATGCATGTATCCATAGATCTGGGCTATACGTGCATGTATCCATAGATCTGGGCTATACATGC